TAATTTAAACACTTTAAGGGGAAGTTTCAGGAGCTTCACATTTAATAACAAAAGTCAAGGTAACCTTGGTAGACTGTCAGGTTTAGTCAAAAGTAATAAATGGCTGTACAATTTTCAAATGATCTAATTAAACAAACTCAGAATATTAGTGTAAGTACACATTATTCTAGAGTACACTGAAGAGAAATTTTGATTTCTATTGTTTATACTTCTCATCACAAACAATACTATAAGTAAAACCTTAATCAATCCTAAGTATAAAACACACTGAACACACATATAAGTACATATATATTTAGTAAAAACATAAAGAAGCAACTCTTGCTGTGGTAGCAGATGGGCCAAGTCAGAAGGAGAGTATCGTCTCCCCATCCCACTAAACTTAGAGCCATTTTTCCTAATCAAATACACAACAATATAAATATAGTGGTTACAGTTTCTTCTATAAATTTGAAATATAAGAGATTAGATACAGTATATAACATGTGGCCAAACTTCGAAATACATTCGTGAGATACATTGACCTTAAAATGACGTACTTAAAGATTAGTTGTATTTGCCTTTTAAACTATTTAAGTGGTTTTGAAGTTATTAAATTAAGTATAGTAGGCTTTTGCTTCCACGGGTTCTATATCTGTGGATTCAATTAATTGCTGATAGAAAATGCTGTAACCACACTAACAATTATTTCTCAACTGAAAATTTACTTTGCTGTCTGTCCTAAAGATTTCTCTTATCAATAAAATCAACACAAGAGCATCTGTGTGTGTTTCAAAAGATGGAAATCAAAGAGGACAAATTTTTAAATGGTGTCAAAACTTAACTAGATTGCATAATTTTAATTTATTTCCAATTTTCCAAATTAGGTAAAGTGGGCTATTTCCTAGAAGATGGAATGTATAAAGCAGAACATTTAGGACCTAAGGAGAAGTCAGCCCATCCGCAGTATTAAAAGTGCTGCAGCACAGCACCCCACTGCCTGAGAGCAAATGGGGCCCTCAGATCATCATCTTCAACTAAGTGACACATGGCACATTTATAAAGGCAGCCTTGGTCAAGGGTGAGGTCTGGTGTGGGCGGCTGCTGTGGGCACAGGGGCGTCTCATCTGCGTCCGGGGAGGTGTGAAGACACAGTTACTTCCCAGCAGCAGCACCAGTCCTCGTCTCTGTCCTTGGCCATCTTTCCAAAACAATCTTGGCATTAACAAGAGCCAAATTATTTTAAGATGGATTTTGAACTGTTAAATCTCATTCCACATGAGCCAGAATAGATAAGCCAGGTCTCTTAAATATAGCCCTGAAACCAGATGGATGACAAGATCCCCGTGATGCCAGCCACAGCAGTGCCATTTGTGAATGGATTCCATGTGCTCTCCCACTCCGCCAGCATTTCCCATCTGGGTAAATCCAGGTGAGTGGAGCTGCATAACTTGTGCTTTGTGGAACTTAACTGCCATGCACACACATGTGAGCACTCAGTTCAGCAAGAGACTCCCCGTGTCCTGTCACGGAGACTCGGGGGCCTCCTTTCTAGATGCGGCTTGCTCCTACCCCCCGCCCCCACCTTTGGAGGGAGCATGGAATACTTCCTTAGAATTAGCAACCCCCGGGTTTGTTATAAAACACTGAGTGTATATATGTGTATGTGTACGCACACACGTGTATAACATAAATAACCACCCGTGTAGAGCCCACCCCTGTCTGCAATTCTCTTACATTGTATTTACTTCTGGACACATAACATGGTTCAGTAAGTTAAAAAACATAAACCTACAAATCAATACGCAGAAAGTGTCTTTCCTTTCTCTATCTATCAAGTTTCAAGTCCCTCTCCAGCAGAGCTGTTACCTCTGAGGAACCCTTCCAGATAGGAGGGACCACAGCCATGGGCTGTTCTTCTATCTCATCTTACAAAATAAATAATGTAGACAACATGCATTTTTACATATATATGTATAGTACGTGAACAAGCATATATATACATATATGCACACACATACACATTATATCTAATGTTCATTATATAGATGTATAATGCACCTTAGCAGGGCTTTCTTGTTGGATATTTAGATTGTTCTCAAGGTTAGAAAGAAAACTTTGCCAAGTATATAATCATATCTGTATAAAGACTCTAAAAAACAGAACTGCTGACTCAAAATATATACAATTTGCAATTCTGAAATTTCCCATATGGCTTTCCTAACTCTGAACCCAACTTACACATGCGACAGTTACCAGTTTTCCTGTCACCCTCACCAGGTGCATTGGAGGGTGCTGAGGGTTCTTCAACGGGATCTGACGGAGGGAGGGCAGCCAGCATCCCTTCCACACGGCTGCCTCACCCCTTCTGTGATCAGTGCTCTCACCTGGACCCCCGGGCTGCTGCACCTCAAGTGCCTGTCCTGATCTTGTATAGAAGCCTCCTGACATAGAAGCCCTGGAGGGCCAGGTATCCACGGTTTCAAGCCACAGTCACGTTTGTATTTATGGTTTCCTAATCCATTTCCTCCAGTCTAGACTTCTCTTCTCAACCCTACACTGGGAAGCCAGCGAGGCAAGTCACATTTAACTTAACCCCAAACAAGCCCCGATCTTTCTCCTCTCACACTCACACCTGCTCAGGTCTCCTGAAGTGGTAAACAGCAGTTCCATCTCTCAAGGATGGGGCAAAGAGATCAAGTCACACTCATCCTTTTATCCTACTACCCATAAGCAATTCATCAGTGAATATTACCAGCCAGACCTTCAGATTGTTAGTTTGGGCCACACAGAAATTGTTCAATGTGTCTAATGACCACATTTGCTGACTTAAGAGTTCAGTAGAAAGCCCTGTGCCTGGATTCCAGTCTCATCTGTCATGTGATGGCAGAGAGGTTTGCTGCTCTGTGCAAGCTCTCCCAGGCACCGTTCTTGGTGTCTGGAGTGTGCTATGAATAAAGAGATGCCCAAGCCTGAGGAAAACAGACACTGCCTGTGAACACAAGTAATCATAAGGTATGCTAGGAGGTAATGAGTGAGGTCAGGATGCTGCTAAGCTTTCGGATCTGCCCTCACTTCCTTTCTTCTGCTGTGATAAACCACGGTGACAAAGCAGTGTAGGGAGAAAGGATT